CGACCCACAAAAACCAACAGTAGACGAACAGCGTATATCCCCTTTCACCCGCTCCGGCTAGGGAAAAGGGCCCCCAACCTTCCCAAATTTTTACTAAAACTCTTCTTTGGGCCCAAAAATTTCATTATCCCAGACCAATAAATTTAAAAAATTTCCCTTGGGAAAACTTAAAGGGGAAAAAACAAAAAAATAAAAAATTGCAAAAAAGATCAGTTTTTTAATTACAAAAAAAACTGTAGTTCTTTGACTCCCCCGTAGGTGGCAGTGGCCCGTAGGAATGGGGGGGGAAAGGGGGAAGTCCCCCCTCAACATTTTTGGACCATTTTAAAGATAAAATTTTTGTTTTTTAAACTTTTTTTCCCATTATTATGTTAAATACAAAATTTAAGAAAGCTACCCAATATCAACTAAGAAGTATTTGGGGGCCCCCCCTAAAAATTGATATTTTGTTACTGTCTTTAAATTTTAAAAACCCCCCCCCCCCCCTTTTTTATTATTTTTTTTCTTTTTCTTTTAAATTTAAAATTTTTTTAATTATTTGGGAAGTTTCCTGGTTATTTCTTATTTTTTAAAATGTTCAAAATTAAATTATTAGTATTTTTTTGTTAATTTTTTTGGGTTTTAAGCTTCCGTTACTCTTAGTTTTGGGTAAATTTTTTTTCATCTTGTATGACTTTTGTACTTTTTAAACTTGGCCCCTAGTTAATAAGTAACATGTGTGGGATCTTCTCGGTATCCAACTTTTATGAGTCTGTCCACTTAATGACCTCTTGACTCATGCGCTATAGTGATGCATGAATTATGAATCCCTGAGTCAAGATTTTTGTATATGTGTTTTTACTCTACTTATGGCATGAAAAAAACAAATATGAACTTCTTTTTCAAAAATGACATTTTTCCAGGAAGTTACAGAAATCTCCACTACAGTGGACTACATGAGCTTGAGCACGCAACACAAAACATTATACAAACAACTGTGCCCAGGGTGCAGGGCCACTGTTCCCTGCACCCTGGGCACAGTGGCACACAGCATTGCATGCAAATGTATTTGGTCTTCCATGTGGATGCAGCATCATGGCCTCTGTTTGCATTTTTAGAATTTTTGGATGGAATTTCTTGGACTATTCTGTAGGTTCCCTTATTCTTCGCTGTGTTTGAAGTCTACAATATAAATAATTGGTACAGTTACACAAACTACAGCTAATCTGCACAAAATATACACAAAGTATAAACAAAATATACTAAAATGTAAATTTGCAGTGAATAGCTTATATGTGTTACGTTTAAAACACTGAATTAAAGGCAAAACAATTACAAGACAGTAAAGCAATTATATAACTTCTGTTGAAAAAATTGTAATGGGAGATGCATGACTTCCACTTCAGTGGACACATGGTTTATCGTAATTTTCTAAATGTTGGAGAAAAAATTTTATATTTCAAACTGATAATATCCTTTCTGAGATGTTACTTTAAATCATCATATTTTTTTACCTCTTGGGCTCTTCTACTATAGAAGGATTGAGAGGAAATGCCAGCAGTGGTGGACAGAGGTTACTGTTTGTTGGCCGTCTTGGATTCAGAAGAAATTTACTTGCATTTACAATGACTGACCACTGAATGGACCTCAATGGAGTGTGGCGGCAGAGAAAAAATAACTCTTTAGCCTACAGTGCTGATATAGATGTAAATGTACTGATTGCTTCTTTAATCAGTCTGCTCATTAAACATGTTAAATAGGGGTGCATTTCACTTTTCCTTGCCTATGGACCCAAAAGATTTTTTGTGCATCCGCTCGCGCTCTGCCATCTTGGCTATAATACCTTATCTGTCTTGTTTGCCCCCCCACATTTTAAAACCTTCCTACGCCCCTGGGTGGTGACATGTTCACGTGGAGCCTCATGAACCAAATGGCTCAATGCCTCATCATCTCACCATCACTAATAAAAAGGTTAAAACCTAATTGAAAATGCTAAAAAGCTAAATGAAAAAAACGTAAAATATATACTTAAATATAATACATACTACTATCAAACATAAACACAATAATACCTTCACTACCACATATATATACCTCATGAAAACTACTCAACTAATAATAATACTATACCTCATATCTATATATAGTAGAAATATATACTAAAAACCGACCCAAATACTACTCATCTACCCAATCTAGCATACCTAATAACCACTATATACTAAAAACTAAAATAATCATACAAATAAACTATAAACTATTATATATACTATATATACTATATGATAAATACTATATAAACTAACTACGCGTATAGTATATATATATATATATAATATCAACGAAATTAACAAAACACTATACTATATTACAATAATAATACACTCATATATAATACATATATATATTAAAACTCTATATCATTAACATTAACAAATTATCATCTTACAAATACGACAATATATATATATACTAAAATAATCATAATCCTACCAATAATAATTAGTTACCAAAATCCAATTATACTATACACACGATATATTATCACTGCTACTAAAATTACACAATAAACAACTAAAATAAAAAAAATATACCTAGCTCCCTTCATATAATTGTACACGTATACTAAATATATTAATACATCCAATTATAATAAACTCTCACCAATAAAAATTACACCGACTATTACAGCATATATTTGTAATAATGCATATTATATAAAATTACATCATAAATCATATTATCTATGATATACAGTTACCTAAATAAAGCACTATAATATATAAACTATGATATATCACATACTATTATTACTACATAATATATACGTACTAATAATATCACACTAATATATACCTATCAACACGTCATAATAAATAACAAGAAAAAATAAAAATATTAACTAAAATACCCTCACCCATAATACAACTATAATATATAATACTCATATAAACGCCAGCTTAATATTTTAATAAACAGAATTAACTATCCTACCAGCACGTATTTAATAAATTAAATATATACTAACTAAGACACTAGTTATACATATACATACACATAATAATAATATATATATATATATATAGTACATACAACGTATAAGTACATACATAGATATATACATGTACTATTAATAATATATAGACACTTATTAGCACGTATAGTTATACATATCTCAAACTAATATATAATTCATATGTATAATATGTATAATCTAATACCATAACTTATAATAAAAACAATATAACTATATATATATATAACTACTATTACACGTATAAATACATACTAACTAATATAATTCTGACTAACGTATCGATATCATATCAATTTAATATAATTATAATTACATCGAGTAATACTATACCATTATATAATTATATAAATAGTATACACGTCATATATACATATATAATATATAATATATATATATATATATATATATGTATATAGTATATATATATACGACGTATATATACATATATATTAGTATATATATATATATAATATGTATATTTATATATGCATATAGGCTAATCAGCTTCCTCCTCCAGTCAGCAGACGCTCCGCAGGTGTCCTTGCTGGTAGTCCAGTGCTGGCTTGAGGGGGTGGGTGCCGTGGGGGAGAGGCTGCGGCGAGAGAAGGTGAGGATGAGTGTGCAGTCTGGCGCTCGTTATTGTCGAGCGCGAGCGGGGGGGGGTCAGAGGGGTCGTGGTTTCTAGGGGGGAGCGGAGGGGGATAATGTTGTATGAGCTGCTCTAGCGTCATAGTCTCGTTTCCGGTCGAGCGTCTAGTCTCGGGGACAGGAGTTTATAGTCTATCTCTAGACTGCTAGTGATGAGTGAGATGAGAATAGTGTTGATTGAGAACACTATTACATTCGCAGGTCGCCACTAATCGTCTATTCGAGATGCAGGGGCAGTAACAGCGCACAAATCCTACCTAGCACACACTGGCCAGTGCACTATGCCCAAGAGCTCGAGTGCGTCACTGCCGATACGCCAATCTGCTGGACTTTAGAATAGATTCAATTTTCCCACAGACTTATAAAACATAGAAGCTGAACACTGACTTATAGAAACAAAGCGTAACCAGAAGACCGCTGGTAATAGATTGTCATCCATTTTTTTCACATGAAACTTTCATTCTTATATGTAGAAGAAAGAGATTTTAAAATAAGCTGAATTCCACTTTAGCATCATGCTAACATTTGATCTCACCCCTGGTTCCTCCACATGGTTTCTCCTCTCCAACCACAGACATTTTCCCTGTTTTTAAATTTAATGATCAAACATATGGAAAACGATTAATGACTGTAATTACTGTTTTTGTAGAAAAACATAACGTTGGTATTGGATTAATATGCATATCCCCATATACTATGTTACAATGACAGAACAACATCGTTTTATTTAAAAAGGATCAAGTTTTAATTAAAATAGCTAATCATTCGGATTTCTTTAATTTGGACTTAGGCTAAGCGTGGTTTATAAAATAACTTCTGATCCAATAGGATTCTAAGAAATTAATTTTCATCAAAAAACACGCGTCTTCAGCTTGTTTGCATAATTTTAAGTGAGATCAATACAGTTCAATTATTATTATTATAAAGGAATGTTTTAAACCTTGCCTTAAAAGTAGACTACTAATGAGTAGTACTCACTACTAAGATGAGAAAAAACTGAGAGAGCACAACAGAAAAATAGAGATAGAATGAAGCAGAATGATGAAAAAGGGGTCCCTATGTCCTCCAGCAGTCTAAGCCTATAGCAGCATAACTATAGAGATAGCTCAGGATAACCTGAGCCACTCTAACTAGAAGCTTTATCAAAAAGGAAAGTTTTAAGGTAAGTTTAAAGCCTTGCCTGACTCCAGTCACTGGTGTTCTGATAAATGTGACTGGGATATGAAAGGACTTAAGAAATGGACCAATCATTCCTTCCCATGATTCAGTGACCATGTTTACAGTGAGTGGACCTGCTGTGTCACAGGTAGCAGCTGAAGGCGGATAATTGGCCCCTCCCTCCCCTCCATCTCATCTCCTGCTGGGAGCTGACTGAACACAAGGATCTGCTCCACCAGTCGATGCTGAGCTCAGGAGAGCAAAACCACATCTTTATTCACCCAGATCTTAACTCCCTCTGGGTGCAGATCTAGGTTTCTGGACAGGAAGGACTGATTCTGCTTGGTACGAAGGAGGAGGATCAGCATGAGCTTCTCTCAGAGCTCAAACTGAAACCTGCCATCAGAGGATCACATCATCATCATCTCCATCACTGACAAACAGGTACATTTCACCCAAACATTAAATAGCCGGGGCTGTGTGGGTAGCAGAGAAGTCATACTAATGGGTGTGTGGCTTAGAAAGACACGTTGGTCCCAAAGTCTAATTTTAGTGGCTGTAATCTGGGAGAAAAGGATTTAAGTGAACTGGACTGGGAGCTTAATGTGCTAATGTGACTGAACAAACAAACGCAGCTTCTATTTACAGCTGTTTAACTGCATAGACATGTTGAACTTTCAGGTTGGGGACATAGGAGGAAAGCTTTCTCTGACGTTTCTCAGTTTGCCTTATTAAAAACCATGAATAATAATGATCTGGACGGCTTTCAGAAAAAGACTGAAACCAGACATACACCCACTGCTGAGACACACAGAGAAAAGGGGGCCAGATGGGGCCTCTAAGGAATCGGGGTGGCCACTGAAACTAGAAGCCATAATTTCAGGGTTTGAATTCCACTATTGTGGTAAAGCTGCCTATAGAAATCATAAATCAGTGAAAACCTCCTCCTATCTTGGTTTATTGTGTGATTTTTTAATGTTATGTTTTTGGCTGCAGTGGAGCCAGCAGGAGAGTGGCAACGGCCGCCCTGTGCAATGCCCAGGTCCCCCCACTGTTTAAACTATAGTAGCATCAGTTTAGCATTTCATCTCATTATGCTAAGCCTGCGACGTAACATTAAAAATCACTCAATAAACCAAGATCTGACTAAATGTTTTAATGTATTTAGTTTCACGGTATTTTGCCAAATAAATATTGCAGAGAATGTGTTCACCAAGTAGTTGGAGTTCCCACAGTCCATGAATGCAACATGGAACGGGACATCTCTCCAGCTCTGCTACAAGCTGTCAATCAAGTTTCCCCGCCCACTCCTGTCAGATTGGGGTCAAAATCTGAATGTGAAAAAAAATTATCTGAAAGTGTAAAAAAAAATCCTGAAACTAAAAAATGAATTTGAAACAAATAAAAAAACAAATTACAAAAACTGAAAAAATGGATTTGAATCTGAAATTATAAAATCTAAAATTGCAATGAAGAAAAGAAATTAAAATAAGGAAAGAGTGTAATTGAAATACAAAACTGAATTTAGATTGAATTCTTATTGTTTTATGTGATTTTTTTAGTTTCAACTTATATATCTTCTCTTATTCTCTTGGTAAAGCTGTGGCACAGCGATAAAAAAAAGTGGCACATAACAGAGCAAGTACCTTAAACTACTAGAGTAGCAGCATTATGAAGTGAAGGCTACCAAGGACAGGCTGCACCTCGTTCTGGGAGGACTTATTACGTATATTTATCATAAATCTAATGTTATCATTGCTGCTGTGTGTCAGTCTGATTGTTACGTATCACAGGGATGGAGCCCCGACACCAGGCGCCTCCAACAGGAACAGAACTGCAGTCCAGGTGAGATCAGAGGATGGATAGAGTCTCACCAAACCCTCCTCCTCAGAAAAAAACCCCATATGTTTGGGTTTTTCAGAACCGGATTTAGTACAAGCTTCACTTTATTGAAATACTAAGTACGTTTCCAATATTAAAAACTTCATCTATTGATTCTGATCCATCACCTGGACACACCTGTCCTACACCAACTTAGACAACTTTTATTGTCATTTCGTACTTAACTGTCCTTGTAAACAGAGTTTATACAAAACTAAATGTTGCTTAGTGCAGCTTTTCAGACAGTAAATTAACATTTGCTTTCCATAAATTGCAGCAGAGATCAAATGTAAACAGTGTTGGAGAAAAACATGGTGCAAAAACGCATTGATATGGAAGTTAAGAGAAATGATATATGTGGTGCAAATATGCAGTATAAACATCTAAATGTGCGTCTGTAGACAAACACCCCATTTCCCACTGGCCGAAAAACCCATTTAAACCAGGGAACTATGGGCTTTTAGTTGCCATGGGAACAGTTGACTGACGCGTGTCAGACGACTCAGCAAGCGACCAGCATTAAAATCATCTCAGCTCTGATCGGCGTGCTGTGGTAACACCAGAGCCGGGTCAACGCTCAAAATTACGTGATGCCATTGAACGCAACATATGGACGTCAACGCAGTCACCTCTGATCTAACAAGCAGAACAGTTTCCATTGGATAAACATGGAGCAGCTCTGGTGAGAGGGATTCAGATTATAGAGAGAAACAATAAAGCTACGCCCTGCCTTCCTTACATGTAGCTCTCCATTGTTTACTTCCCTGATTTCTGTCGCACTGCTGACATCATCAGCGCTAACCCAGTGTGATGTTGGTGGAGACAGGCAGTGGCAGGGGGTCAGAGGCCACGCAGCCACCAGGGAGGGATTAGACCAGCTTTATTAGCCAGTGGGAAGGGAGCCAAATGCTAATTGCTAGCGGCGGGGCTGGGCAAATAATTGCATTTTTAATATAATTACAATTTAACAAAACGCAATTTTAAAATCGCAGAGGTGCTCAGGTTTAATTACACTATTTTTTTTTTATAAATCGTTCTATTGAAAAGTCAGAGGTAGAAACAATAAGTTGTCATCACGGTTATAAATGACTTCGTTTTTCAAACTTTATACACACTAAAAAACCCACCCCCTCCCATCCCGACTGGACCCAAAAACAATAACACTAATAGTTATAATAATAAAGCAAAATCAGATCCTTTGTATTAATTGAATTTAATGGATTCTATATATAAAGCAATACATCATCGGCATACAATGACAACTTTGATTCTAAGCTGTTTTTAATAAAAACAGTTTGGTCAGGTGATTCGACATGTGGAAGTGATTTTTCCAAACTTCTAGCTATTAATTAGGAGAAGATTTTAAGACCTGAGTTTAAAAGTGATATTAGTCGGTATGACCCACACTTAGATGCAAATAACGCTACATTTAACAAGAGTAAGTATAAAATTTCTACCTTTAGCCCTCTAGGGGGCAGTAACACTCTTAAAGTGGATTTTTCGCCACACGGAAAGGTAGAGAGTTGCGGCTAGCTCGCGGATCCGTGTACGCAAGTAGAAGTAAACACTTTTTCACACAAAGGTTACAGTAAAATTCTGTAACAATGAACTCAGAGCAAGCAAGATTTTTAAAAACTGAAACTCTGGGGTGAAAGGTCCAGAAGCTTGGGGTTCGAGGTAAAAACGCGATATTGGTTTAAAAAAAATCGCAATTTAGATTTTTGGCAAAATGGTTCAGCCCGTGTTAGTGGCTCGACTCACATTAGAAAAACCGAGTTAGTCCGCTAATTCCAGTGGGAAAGAAGCTATAGACTCACATCTAATCAAACTATTGTTCTGCTGGAGGTTTAAAAGGGAGTTTTTCCTCTCCACTGTCGCTACAAGCATGCTTAGTGTGAGGGATTGCTGAAGAGTCAATGAGTCGATGCAATCAGCTGGTTTTCCTTAGATAGAAAACTTTGAACCAATCTGACTGGATGATCTGGTGAACTGGGAAGTGACCTGAGATGACATGATGTGAATTGGCGCTATAGAAATAAACTGAATAGAATAGAATGAACTAATGAGTAAACCAACCATAAACCTAAAGAAACTTGCTCAAAGGATTACAGGGACCAATGTTATTTCTGAAAGTCTGCAACAGGAAATAAAACAAGAGAAGGCTTTGAGACCCAGAGGAATCTCCGATCTGTGGCATGTTTCCTTTTTTTGTAGTTCAGAACCAAATAATGTTGGGTAACCTCACTAGGATCCGGTTTCTATCCAAACCTCCATGAATCTCTTGGTTCAGTTTTAATAAAAACCATTCTGCTGCTTTTCTAACCTATATTAGAAAACTATTTTGACTCTCTTCTCCCAGGATTTCAACCATGATGCGGTTTGGAAGGAGCAGCGTCGGTCCTGGAGAGTCCGACCCCAGCGTCCAGAGGATGGACAGCAGCAGGTCCAAGTCTGTCTCATGTTGCTATCCAGCTACTGTCTGGATGGATACAGGAAGCTAATATTCTCCTCTGTTGGTTCCTGTTGCAGGACTAACCAGAGGCCCCTGGCTGCACTGAACACAAACAGCTCCAACAATAATGATGGGTAAGTGTCAAAAAGCAAGTATCCAGCCATGCAATCTGGTTAAATAAAGGAGATGGAGGGTAATGCATTTTATTTTCTTTATTTGCGAGGAGAGAACAAGACGATAACAGCGGCTCTAACAGCTGAATGTTCTGCTCTGTTTCTAATTAGACAGTTTGTCTCTGCAGTGAGCAGCTGTGAAGGTTTTATAAACAAAACGACTTAAAGAGGCTTTAGGAAACAGTTTATATGATGGAGGAGAAAGAACAACGGAGTATAAGCCGGAGATTTTTTATTTTAGATACGAGAATAATGCGTAAAATTCGATTTTATTCTCTTAATGTTGCAACTTTATCCTCTTAAATTTATGACTCTATTCTCATAATACTATGACTTTATTCTATTGTCAGAATATTATGACTGTGTTCTCGTATTGCAACTTTGTTTTCATAATGTTACAACTTGATTCCCATAATGTTCTGACTTTATTCTCGGCATTTTTCAACTTTGTTCTCTTACTTCTGGGTGTGCAGGTAGTGCAGTTGTTAGCACGCACACCCTATGTACCGAGGCCTTAGTCTTCGCCGCGGGCGACCTGGGTTCGAATCTGACCTGTGGTCCTTTCCCACATGTCTCTCCTTCCCCCTTTACTGTCAGAAAAACAAAAAAAATGTTGGTCTTGAACTGCTAAGACTTTATTCTCGTACATTTATGACTTTATTGTTGCAAAGTTATTTTACTCTCATAATATTACAGCTTTTTCATCATAATGTTCCGACTTTATTCCCATAATAAAAATAAAATAAATCTCTAGCCTGGCGCTAATACTCTGCTGTAAGAAAGAGAGTGTTCTTTATCTGAAGTATTATTCGCCGTTCCAAACAATCCCAAATAGTGAACTCAGCTCAGACACTGTGTGGCCTTAAGTGGGAGAAACGACTGAGTGAAAACTTTTATAAAGTAAGTCAATCCAAAACAATCACTCGTAAATCTATATATATAAAAAACCTAAAATCCATATTCTAGTAAATGTGAACAAGGTTTGAAGAGTTATGTATATCTCTTTTATTCCTTTCTAAACTGGTATTTTTCACTGTGAAATTCTACCTGTCGTGTTTTTAAATTGACAGTTTAAAGATGTGTTCAGGGACGACAGATGGAAAATAGCCTCTCAGCGAACTCTGGTGCATTTGCAGCTATGCTAATTCATGTAAACTGACCCTGACAAATAAATAAATACAATTTTAAAATATGGGGAATTAATCGGGAATAGATTTTCCCAACCACAGTAAGTCAAAGTTTATAATAAAATCCTAAGTTAGATCATTTGTATAGAACGCCCCGAGATGTAGAAACTCTGACTGGGAAAAATAGAGTTCCACATTTCACAGGTTAAACTGGAACAATAAATATAGAAATAGACATCCTGCTATTTAAAACACTTTTATAGACTACTTAAATTTAAAAAGTAAAAGTAATGCAGGAAAAGCTGTTAAGGCCAGAAGCTTTACTGCTCTACGCTATTAAAGGAACATTTTCTACAATTCTGGATGATAACTTCCTTAGACTTAATTTTCTTAGTTTTATAACTAATGGTAACAGAGTCAGATTTAACTTTGCATCATCTTGAAAGACTATTCATTTTGGTTTGTGGTGAACAACAAGTTGGGGCAGCACCAACTCCAACAACAAAGAAATTATCTGGATGAAACTAATTATTTTGATGGTCATAATGAAAATTAGCTTAAATGAAACAAAACTAACGACTCTATTTTTTCCAGAAGGATGTCTAAAAAATACTAATAAGTATAGATAGCCAACATTTCTACTTAATTAAGGTAATGAAGTATTAGTACTTTGTTATTTGACACTTTTGATCACTGCACCAACAATGTTATCTGCTTTATTGGTCATAATGTTTTGACCGATTATAGAACAATGCCACCACTCTACTCAATGACAAGGCAAAGCGTCCACCTGACCTGCCTCTCTGTATTATTGTTTTTAGGAAAAAGGAAGAAAAGAAGGATGATAAAAAAGATGAAAAGAAGGATGATAAAAAAGACGACAAGAAAGATGAGAAAAAAGAGCCACCGTAAGTACTTTGATTATTTCCTTTCATTACCAGAAATAAAATCTTGACATCATAACTTTGTGACCCAGTTTATAATATTTGGTTTCATAGATTTTAAAACGACACCTTGCAAGATTCCAATTTGGACAGTTTGGGGTAAATTACCTGTATTTTACTGTTTATGTCAGAATATTTCCCCTACATTCAGTCATTCACACGCCTATGGTGGTAAGCTACATGGTAGCCACTGCTGCCTTTGGGCAGACTGACAGGAGGCGCCTCCTATGGCGCTGCCCGGCCCTCTAACCACCAACAGCAGGCAAGGAAGAGGGGAGGGTACTGCTCAAGGACACAATGGCTGAGAAGGAAGGAGCAAGAGCTTGAACCATCATCCCTCCAGATACTGGATCAACCCCTAAATCCTGAATTATTAGCCCCATTTACACTATCCTCTGAAAACCGATCTGTGCTGATTGTGGAGTAAAAATGTCTGTTCTTAGCCTCACAGGCTCCAAACGAAGGTCATGAGAGATAACAATATGTTACTCAGCTGCTGTTTTAAAAAGATCCATCTGACCAGTAGACGATAGATTAACCTAACAGGGAACAGGCTTGATGAACTCAAGTTGTTTTTCCTCCAAAGGTTCAACTGTGAGAAAGTTCTTTATGCAGGGGGTGGGTTAGTTCCCCTGGGGGGAGTGTGTGTGTCGAGATTTGCTGTATAAAAGTACGTACTGAGCTTTACCCAGTCAGAGCACCATCTCTCCATCTGACATGAAATAAATTGTAACCTTTTTTCTTGCAAAAAACTCCTGTATCAGTTTCTCCACAACTTCACATGAGCTTTGATCAGTTAACCGTGCAGAGCTCTGTTCCATACAAGCATTTACACACAACGCAAGCACAGGTTCCTCGCCCGCTAGTGGCGATCTTCAGTACTACTGCTCTCTCGATGTGAATAAGCAAACCAACATGGCGGCGCCCGTAACATTCAGGAAGTGTGCGGAGAGTCAGGCGAAGAAGGCAGGCTTTGGTGAATTAACTTGACAGAGTCGGCTTCTGAAAGTGGATACGACAAACGATAGTCTAATCAGGGCTTCCAGATGCAGGAAACAAAGACCGACGTTGAGCTTCATTGCGCTGCTATAAGCATAATCATCATTGGAAATCGTGCGGCACGGTAGGGAAACTAGGATTTTTATGAATATCTTAAATTTCATGATTATGGAGGCTGACTGTAAGGGGATGACGCTCTCTGCTCATGCACTCTTTGTTGTCTGAGAACCAAGCCAGAACTGAACCGGGCCGAGCCCTACTGATGAACTAGCACCACGTTAGTGCGGTTCGGTTGGGTCTGGCACAGTCCAGTTCAGTTGTGCGTACCATTTGATCTCAACAGTTATCTTGGTTACCGTGCTCGGATCGATCTCCGCAGGGTTTGGAAAGGATAGTGGAAACGAGGCTAATGACTTCTAGCCAAAGCTGTCTGAGAAGTGCTAGCAGTAAGGAAGGAGGTAGGAAAAGGAGCCTGTATGCTTCCTCTAATAGTTCCTTTAGCGTAGGAAACTCATAACTTTCCTATCTGGCGCTAAGGAGCAGAATCCTTTGCGTGACAGAGTGTATACACACAGCTAACCTCAAGAGTTTAAAAAAAAGGCATAACATCTTTTCATGTACTGTGTGTGACACACGTTGATGTGCACGCCTTCCTATATATTTGGTATTATCATGGAGAGCTTCAGCCATTTGGTATATTTGTGAAACTTGAGTCCTGTTTCAGAAGGCTGTAGTCCTAGTCTGGGTATCAATATCCTTTTTTATTTTATTGGCGTTATAACGTCCATCTACATAAAACCCCTGGAGTAGAGACGAATAAGAATGCTAGCTCCTGTTAGCTTGCAGCAGTAAGAGCTTCTACTGAAACATGGAGCTTCATCAGCTCTTTATTTCAGCTCTACAGGAGTTGAGCCCAGTCTCTTCATTGGTTCAACAGCTTTAATGCGGAAAATAAATGTCAAAATGAGTGATTTCGGGACATTTGTTCTCCGTCTGCCTCCTGCTTAGCACGCTCTTGAGCTAAATGAAAATCAGCCCCTTATTCTTTGATTTCGAACTTTTGACTTCCCTCTCTGGCGTTTATGAAGAAAACTAAGAAAAGCCGCACATTCTTATAAGCCGCATGGTTCAAAGCGTTGGAAATAAGTAGCGGCTTATAGTCCGGAAAATACGGCAGTTTAAATTATGTTTTAAGCTCCCTTGTTTTTATTGGCTTATTTTAATCTCTTTATTATTACTATGTAAATATGAAACCAATTTTATGGTTTTATTTTTAGTAGCTTTATGGTTCTGGTAAAGAATAGTGTGGTTGACCACTTGTTGTCGCTTCAATCAGGAAGGAGGTGTGGATCATGGATCCTGCTACGGATACCTACTACTACTGGCTATGCACAGTTTCCGTTCCCGTCTTCTACAACCTCATATTTCTCGTTGCCAGGTTTGGTTGTACAACCTAATATTTTGACTTATCACTTTGTATATTCTTGCCCTAAAATTTGATTCTTTTTTTTTTTGTGTAGATCGTGCTTTAATGAGCTACAGTACAGTAATTCAACACTGTGGATGGTTCTAGACTACATGTCGGATGTCATCTACTACATGGACACCTATGTGAGAGCCAGGACAGGTAAGTCAGATTTCTCTCTTTACCAGCAGTGGCGCCTCCAGAAATGTTTCATAGGGGGGCCAGATGGGGCCACTAAAAATCTTGGGGTGGCCACTGAAACTAAAAGTCATAATTTTTCAGGGTTTGAATCTACTGTTCTGGTAAACCTGCCAGTAGAAATCAGAAAGACTTCAGTAAACACCTTCTCAGATCTTGTTTTTTTGTTTGATTTTTAATGTTACAGTGCTGGCTGTGCAGAATGGGATGAAATGCTAGACTGATGTTACTACAATTTACACTGACCAGTGGGGTGGCCAGGGTATTGAACCAGGTGGCCACAGCCACCCGGTGCAAAGCCCTGATCACCCCACTGGCCGCCCCACTGGCTAGTGGGGTGGACAGGGCATTGCACAGGGTGGCCGTGGTCACTCGGAGGCGGCCACGGCCTGGTGGCCACACCCACCGTGTGCAATGCCCTGGCCACCCCACTGGCTACCCCAATGGCTAGTGGGGTGGCCCTGGCCATCGGGGGTTTGGCTACAGCCCGGTGGCCACAGCCACCCTTTGCAAGGCAACCTCTTGGTGGCCACAGCCACCCTATGCTAGGCAACCCCTTGGTGACCACAGCCACCCTGTGCAAGGCATCCCCTTGGTGGCCACAGGGGCCCTGTGCAATGCCCTGGCCACCCCACTGGCTGCTAGGGCATTGCACAGGCTGGCCGTGGCCAACCCTAGCTACTCCTTGGTGGCACCACTGTTTCCCAGATGTTAAACATTTCAAACCTTCTCATGTTTAATGTGTCAACAGGTTTCCTGGAGCAAGGACTGCTTGTGAAGGATGAAAAGCTCCTAAAAGAAAAGTACATGAAGACGCGGCAGTTCAAGTTAGACCTCATCTCCATCATTCCTACTGACTTTGTGTTCCTTCAAATCGGGGTGGACAACCCGGAGTGGAGGTTCAACCGTCTCTTCAGGCTAGCTCGACTCTTTGAGTTCTTCGACCGAACTGAAACTCGAACCAATTTTCCGAACATCTTCCGCATTGCAAATCTTGTACTTTACATCATCATCATCATACACTGGAACGCTTGTCTTTACTTTGCCGTCTCCAAGGTACTCGGCTTTGGCTCTGACACCTGGGTATATCCAGACTTGAGCAATCCGGTGTACGCTCGTCTGAGCAGACAGTACATCTACTGTTTCTACTGGTCCACCCTCACCTTGACAACTATCGGTGAGACTCCGCCTCCAGTCCGAGACATAGAGTACTTTTTTGTTGTAGCTGACTTTCTCACCGGGGTTTTGATCTTTGCAACGATTGTAGGCAACGTGGGTGCAATGATTTCAAACATGAATGCTGCGCGAGTAGAGTTTCAGGCCAAGATTGATTCAATCAAGCAGTACATGCAGTTTCGGAAGGTCACAAAAGACCTGGAGGCTAGGGTGGTGAAGTGGTTTGACTACCTTTGGACCGAGGGGAAGTCCTGCGACGAGAAGCTGGTACTCAAGAACCTCCCTGACAAACTAAAGGCGGAGATAGCTATCAACGTCCACCTGGAGACGCTTAGAAAAGTGCGCATCTTTCAAGACTGTGAGGCCGGTTTGCTTGTGGAGTTGGTTCTGAAGCTGCAACCTCAGGTCTTTAGTCCCGGTGACTACATCTGCAAAAAGGGGGACATAGGTAGAGAAATGTACATAATCAAAGAAGGAATGTTAGCTGTCGTGGCAGACGATGGGGTGACGCAGTTTGTTGTCCTCAGCGATGGGGCGTATTTTGGAGAAATCAGTATCCTTGGGATAAAAGGCAGCAAAGCAGGCAACCGGAGAACCGCCAACATCCGAAGCGTTGGCTACTCGGATCTGTTTGCGTTGTCAAAAGACGATCTGATGGAGGCCCTCACGGAATACCCCGATGCTAAATATGCTCTGGAAGACAAGGGAAGGGCCATTCTGATGAAAGACAATCTCATAGATGAGTCCCTGGTAGCTGCTGTTGACGCCAAAGATTTGGACGATAAAGTCAGCGTAATTGAAAACAGCGTGGAGGTCATGACGACAAAACTGCAAAAGCTTAGAAATCAATATGAGTCCTCTCAACGCAAACTCAAGCAGCGGCTCACTAACTTATCAAACCAGGTCAGAACCCTTCGAGTTGATGAGTGACGCACTCGCCAAGGACCACTATTGCCCCGAGGTAGCAAAGAATCTTCATCTCTGGGACAGTAGAGTTTCAATACTCCACACATGGAACAGTTGGACAGTGTCTCTAATCATACTCCCATATAGGATCCAATAAAAAAGTTGCCTTGAAAATTGTCCATTGTGTCTGTCTTCTGGTGTTCATATGGAGGAGCTTGGTAAGGTCAGCTGGACTGAACAGGAAGCATTATCACTAAACAAAGGTACTTCATAGACACGAATCTTGTTATTTTGACTTATTTGACTACAGATTAAACCAGTTTTACCTCTCCTTAGTGAAAATGTCATAGGTGGATGGATGACCCAAATATTTTACCCAAGTAAAAGTAGCACCTTTTACTTTTTTCAGTAGAAAGTAGTCTTCCGAGAAATTACTGAAAGAAGATAAAATCTAATGTAATGGTTAAACAGGCGCTAGAAACAGTAGCTAGGGGCTAGGAAACGAGCAAGAGCTATAAAGTAGAACAAGCTATGACCCAGGAATATGAACAAGGAACAAGGGCCAGGAGCTAAGCATATGAGCTAGAGACAGGAGCTAAATGCTAATAAAAGGAGCTACGGGATAGGAACAGGAGCTAAGAGGTAAGAAAAGCAGCTATGAGCTACGAACAGAAGGTATTAACTAGAAATACGAGCTATGAGCTAGCTGCCAGGAATAGGAGTTAGGAGCTAATAACAGGAGCTATGAGCTCCAGACAGTAGTTAGGAGCTAAGAGTTAGGAGCTTATAACAGGAGCTATGAGCTCCGGCCAGGTATTAGGAGCTAGGAACAGGATGTATTAACTGGAAAAATAAGCTAGGAGCGGGTAATATGACATACGGGGTAGGAGCGGAAAAAAAAGAATATAGGAAGAGGAGCAAGGACCTAAGAACAATAGCTAGGAACAGGGGTAGGAGATAATAATAGGAGCCAGGAAAAGGAGCTAGGAAAAGGGAATAGGAGCTAAAAATAGAAGCTAGGGATATGACCTAGGAATAGGAGCTAGGAGATATGAATAGGAACTAGGAAGAGGTACTAGGAGCTAATGACAGAAATGAGGAACAGGGACTAGGAGATGGGAAGGGGAGCTAGTTAACATGGGCTTGCAGCTAAGAACAGGAGTTAGGAATAGGAGCTAAGAACAGGAGATGTTAACTACAAATAGGAGCTATGAACTGGGAGCCAGGAACAAGGGCTAGGAGTTAAGCATATGAGCTAGGGAAAGGAGCTAAGAGCAAGGACAGGACCTATGAGCTTTGAACAGGAGCTAAAACTTAACAGCTAGGAACAAGGCCTAGGACCTAAGAACATGAGCTAGGAACAGGGGCTAGGAGGTAGGAAAAGCTTCTAGGAACACAGGATAGGAGCTAGGAACTAGGGCTATAAGATAAGAAAAGGAGCTAGGAACAGGGACTAGGAACTGGAGCTAAGAGGTAGAAATAGGAGCAACGAATAGGGGCTTGGAAAACAAGCTAGAAGGTAAGAACAGGAGCTAGGAACAAGATCTGCTAGGAACTAGGAGCTAGCAACAGGAGCTAGGTGCCAAGAAAAGGAGCTAGGAACAAGGGCTAGGAGCTAACAATATGAGCAGAGAACAAGAGCTAGGAACATGGTCTAGGAGGTAGGAAAAAGAAATAGGAGCTAAAAACATTAGCTAGGTAGAGGGGCTAGGTGGTAGGAAAACCTTCTAGGAACACGGGTTGGGAGTTAGGAACAGGAGCTAGGAACAAGAGCTAAGAGGAAGCAATAGGAGCTAGGAACAGGGGCTTGGAACACAAGCTAGAGAGTAGGAAAAGGAGCTAATAATAGGAGCAAAGAGCTGGAAACAAGAGCTAGAGACAAGGGCTAGGAGCTAAGAATATGAGCTAGGAACAGGAGGTAGGAGCTAGAAACATGGGTTAGGAGGTAGGTAAAAGGGGCTAGGAAAATGGGCTAGGGCGCTAAGAACAGAAGATAGGAACTGAAAACAGGAACTAGGAGTTAGGAATACAGGTGCTGGTCATAAAATTAGAATATCATGAAAAAGCAGATTGATTTCAGTAATTCCATTTAAAAAGTGAAACTTGTATATTATATTCATACATTACATACAAACTCATATATTTCAGATGTTTATTTTGTTTAATTTTGATGATTACAAATGACAACAAATGAAAATCTCAAATTCATCATATCAGAAAATTAGAATATTACTGAAGACCAATAAAAACAAAGGATTTATAGAAATGTTGGCCAACTGAAAAGTATGAACATGAAAAGTATGAGCATGTACAGCACTCAGTATTTAGTTGGGCCTCCTTTGGCCTGTATTACTGCAGCAATGCGGCGTGGCATGGAGTCGATCAGTCTGTGGCACTGCTCAGGTGTTATGATAGCCCAGGTTGCTCTAATAGTGGCTTTTAGCTCTTCTGAATTGTTGGGTCTGGTGTATTGCATCTTCTTCTTCACAATACCCCATAGATTTTCTATGGGGTTAAGGTCAGGAGAGTTTGCTGGCCAATTAAGAACAGGGATACCATGGTCCTTCAACCAGGTACTGGTAGCTTTGGCACTGTGTGCAGGTGCCAAGTCCTGTTGGAAAATGAAATCTGCATCTCCAAAAAGTTGGTCAGCTGCAGGAAGCATGAAGTGCTCTAAAACTTCCTGGTATGTGGCTGCGTTGACCCTGGACCTCAGAAAACACAATGGACCAACACCAGCAGATGACATGGCACCCCAAACCATCACTGACTGTGGAAACTTTACACTGGACTTCAAGCAACGTGGATGAAGTGCCTCTCTTCTTTTCCTCCAGACTCTGGGACCTTGATTTCCAAAGGAAATGCAAAATTTACTTTCATCAGAGAACATAGGAGCTATTAATAGGAATAGGAGCTATTAACTAGGACTAGTGGCTATGAACCAGGAGTCAAGAGTAGCAGCTGTAAACAGGGGCTAGCGATAGGGCCTAGGACTTAAGAACTTTATCTAGTGGGTAGAAACATTAGCTGGTAACTAGGAGCAGGAGCTCAGAGGTCCCTATGCTACTAGGAAGCATCCTTCTCCTAGTCCCTTCCTTACTGATAGGACTATCAGGATGCCACCCTCAGAGAGAGCGGGTCCACTGCGGCTCTTTGCTGATTGGAGGCATTTAGATCCAGCCGACGGCGCTCAGAACCACCAGCATCTCCTCACTGTCTGTAACATTTGTTCTGGGGTAGATCTGAACACCTGAGTTCTTATAAACTGTATGTTTATATTGACAGAAATCTGTTTGAGCAGATAAACCTGGAACCTTCAGGGGCCATTAAATGGGGCCAAAGGTCATTTATTTTCTACAGGATATCAGACGAGGAAGCAACTTTTTAGATGTTAACCTGAAACCGAGAAACAGGCAAACCTGGCTGCTGATTAACCAATCAGAAGCAAAGGATTTACATCATCTAAACGGTTGCTATCCCCGATTATTTAGGCATTCAGAGCATCTGCAAGGAGAGGCTTCTATAAAGCAACTCATCCTGCTGACTCAGAGCTGTGTGGTCAACATTGCTGGTCTCTACTGCCATCTAGTGGAGTTTGTTGGACATCATGACATTTATTTGGGACCTTATCAAGTTTTTCTACATGCATCCTATAGCATCACTTACCTTCCACATCAGCATGAACTCACTGACCCCACTGTCTAACATGGAGGAGGCAGAGTCATGCTGAGGGGAGCAGTATGCCTTAGTAACACTTTAGTTGACTGGTAGTTTCATGGGTAAAAACCTGAGGGTCCAAAGTTTAAAGATTTAGATCTACTTTAGAAAAAAATATTAGCACAGCAGCAGGGAAAATGTCCCCCAGGATGAGGAGCCACCACCAAACCTTACAGTGGAAAACAGACACTGAAGCTGATCTGCGATAAAAAAAAAAAATATTTTTTAATCCTGTTTCAGGAATTAATTCCAGTCACATTTTGGTTCAAATGAATATTTATTTAATGCTACATTAAATGGAAACCAAACCATGAAAAGTTTGTCTTGTTCTGGTTTATTCTAGAGATCGGTGAGCAGCTCCACCCTAAAAGAAACACTCTAGAGTTCCCCAACCCCCACTGAAACCCTAATGTGAAGCACAGCGGTGGCAGCATCATGGCGCTGCTCCACAGAGTAGATAGAGGAGTTCAAGGTTGGAAACAGACAATTGAAAACAGGAAACAAACCATTGGATTCAAAGCATCGGGTTTAGAAGAGTTCTATCAAAAAGACGTTTGGTTCGCTACTCTGCCAGGAGACGGGTGTTGTCCTAGCAACAGCCCGGGGTGGAGCTTTTAACCACCAGACCCCTCCTGCAACGATGCCAAAGACTTGGTTCTGACTGATCCAGGTTCAGAAGTATTCACACCCCCTGGAAGATTCAGCCATTAAAGCCCAACTGCTGTAAAACCAGAGGAACCCAGCAGGGGGAGCCAGAGGTTAATACCAGCTTAAACCGTTTTACTGAGGGATTAAAATAATTGGTTCAAATATTTAAATTAGACTTGATTGCCATCAGAAACACATTTCTTACGGAAAAATAAAAACATTTTTGGGCTTAAACTCAATTAGCCCTGCTGATCTGATCAGATCAGAGTGACTGTTCTTTTATTGTACTTTTCCCACCAGAAAGGTGAAAAATAAAAGTTAAAAAATAAAAAAAGGGAGGAAGTAAAGAAGGAAGAAACAGATGAAAGGACGAAAACTGAGGGAGGAAGTAAAGAAGGAACCGAGGAGGGAGGAGGTAAAGAAGGAAGTAACAGATGAAAGGAAGAAAACTAAGGAGGGAGGAAGTAAAGAAGGAAGTAACAGATGAAAGGAAGAAAACTAAGGAGGGAGGAAGTAAAGAAGGAAGTAACAGATGAAAGGAAGAAAACTAACAAGGGAGAAGGTAAAGAAGGAAGAAAACTGAGGGAGGAAGTAAAGAAGGAACCGAGGAGGGAGGAAGTAAAGAAGGAAGAAACATGAAAGGAAGAAAACTGAGGGAGGAAGAAGGAACCGAGGAGGGAGGAGGTAAAGAAGGAAGAAACAGATTAAAGGAAGAAAACTACGGAGGGAAGAAGTAAAGAAGGAAGTAACAGATGAAAGGAAGAAAACAGAGGAGGGAGGAAGTAAAGAAGGAAGTAACAGATGAAAGGAAGAAAACAGAGGAGGGAGGAAGTAAAGAAGGAAGAAACTGATGAAAGAAAGAAAACAGAGGGAGGAAGTAAAGAAGGAAGAAACAGATGAAAGAAAGAAAACAGAGGGAGGAAGTAAAGAAGGAAGTAACAGATGAAAGGAATACAACTAAGGAGGGAGGAAGTAAAGAAGGAAGAAACGAATGAAAAGAATACAACTAAGGAGGGAGGAAGTAAAGAAGGAAGAAACAGATGAAAGGAAGTAAACTAAGGAGGGAGGAAGTAAAGAAGGAAGTAACAGATGAAAGGAAGAAAACAGAGGAGGGAGGAAGTAAAGAAGGAAGTAACAGATGAAAGGAAGAAAACTAACAAGGGAGGAAGTAAAGAAGGAAAAAAACTGAGGGAGGAAGTAAAGAAGGAACCGAGGGAGGAGGTAAATAAGGAAGAAACAGATGAAAAGAAGAAAACTAAGGACGGAGGAAGAAAAGAAGGAAGAAACAGATGAAAGGAAGAAAACCGAGGCGGGAGGAAGTAAAGAAGGAAGTAACAGATAAAATGAAGAAAAACAAGAAGGGGGGAAGTAAACAAGGAAGAAACAGATGAAAGGAAGAAAACTAAGGAGGGAGGAAGAGGGAAGAAACAGATGAAAGGAAGAAAACTAAGGAGAGAGGAAGTAAAGAAGGAAGTAACATAAAAGGAAGAAAACTGAGGAAGGAGGAAGTAAGGAAGAAATAGATGAAAGGAAGAAAACTAAGAAGGGATGAAGTAAAGAAGGAAGTAACAGATAAAAGAAAAACTGAGGAAGGAGGGAGTAAGGAAGTAACAGATAAAAGGAAGAAAACTAAGGAGGGAGGAAGTAAACAAGGAAGTAACAGATAAAAGGAAGAAAACTGAGGAAGGAGGAAGTAAGAAAGTAACAGATAAAAGGAAGAAAACTAAGGAGGGAGAAAGTAAACAAGGAAGTAACAGATGAAAGGAAGAAAACTAAGGAGGGAGGAAGTAAACAAGGAAGTAACAGATGAAAGGAAGAAACGATAAAAAGGGGTAAAATGAGTTAGAACGGAATGAAAAGAAAATGAATTGAACTCTCTGATCTGACGGTTAACTGGTCACCGTGGGCGGTGGCGAGGTGGATGATGCGTGCAGGAGACGGTCCAATCAGGAGTCGGGGTTAGTCATAGTTCCTTTTATTGGTTCTGCCTGCTTCTGTATGCAAACAAAATGACATTTACATTCATCTGCAATGTTTGGGAAGGAGCATCAGAGAGAACGCCTCGCCTTCAGCTGGGAGGGGCCTCATGGAGCCCGCCGCCGCCAGCCGGGTTCTTCCAGCACTGAGGTCCAGGAGGAGTCCAAACAGAACCAGATATTTACACACGCTAAAGAAAAAAAACCCGCCTGCTTCCAGAACCTTCAGCTGTTGGGACCCGCCATCACCATGGCAACCAGCGTAGGGCCAGGAGTGAGCGGCTGGAGGCGGCTCCTCTACGAACGCAGGAAGACCGGGAAAAGATACGCTCCGAGTCGCCATGGCGACGAGTGGCTGAGACACAGAAACAACAGAAAAACAACAGAAACATTGGGAAAATGTCTAAGTGCACTTTACACGGCTCTGACCAAAGCCCAGAACCAGAACCAGAACCGGGCCGTCTGGACCTCCTCGGTCTGAACTGGGTGGAATGATGGTCAGTGGAGCGGTTCTCCGGTTCCGCCACGGTTCTACAACGGGCCGCACTCGGTCCCCCTCCCTCCCAGCATCAGGCGGCCACGAGGGAAGCCATTAAAACCTAGAAATAAATAAGGAGGAGCTCCTCTCTGCTGACGGACGCGGGCTGAGGAGGTTCTGATCCCTCGGTGCTCCCTCTGATGGAAGATGCTGCTGAAACCGCCTGTCCTCCTCTCACCTCCTGCTCTGGTGTCTGTCAGCGTCTGGGTAAGGGGTTTGGGGAGGGGGGCGGAGGGGGTGGGGCTTCATGGGCTTTCTGAGGAGGAGGAGGAGCCAGTTGGAAGGGGGCGGGGCTCAGAGCATGCCAAACCCTTTGGCGTAGGTGATGGCTTTCAGCAGTCTCTCCCTCAGCTTGTCCTTGTTGCTGTACTCTGGCAACAGCAGAACGTTGAAGCAGGTGTGAGACGTTGGTAACCTGGGGAGACAACAACACGCTTAGAACATGTCAACAACACGGTTAGAACATGTCAACAACACGGTTAGAACATGTCAACAACACGCTTAGAACATGTCAACAACACGCTTAGAACATGTCAACAACACGGTTAGAACATGTCAACAACACGGTTAGAACATGTCAACAACACGGTTAGAACATGTCAACAACACGGTTAGAACACACTAAGAACATGTCAACAACACGCTTAGAACATGTCAACAACACGCTTAGAACATGTCAACAACACGGTTAGAACATGTCAACAACACGGTTAGAACATGTCAACAACACGGTTAGAACATGTCAACAACACGGTTAGAACACACTAAGAACATGTCAACAACACGCTTAGAACATGTCAACAACACGCTTAGAACATGTCAACAACACGGTTAGAACATGTCAACAACACGGTTAGAACATGTCAACAACACGGTTAGAACACACTAAGAACATGTCAAGTACATGCTTAGAACACATTAAGATCACGCTTAAAACACGCTAAGAACACGCTTAAAACACGCTAAGAACACAGAACACGCTTGGAAAACATTAAGAACATGCTTGGAACACGTTAAGAACGTGCTTGGAACACGTTAAGAACATGCTTGGAACATGTTAAGAACGTGCTTGGAACATGTTAGGAACGCGCTTGGAACACGTTAGGAACACGCTTAAAACACGCTAAGAACATGCTTAAAACACGCTAAGAACACGCTTAAAACACGCTAAGAACACGCTTAAAACACGCTAAGAACACGGTTAGAACACGCTAAGAACACAGAACACGCTTGGAAAACATTAAGAACATGCTTGGAACACGTTAAGAACGTGCTTGGAACACGTTAAGAACATGCTTGGAACATGTTAAGAACGTGCTTGGAACATGTTAGGAACGCGCTTGGAACACGTTAGGAACACGCTTAAAACACGCTAAGAACATGCTTAAAACACGCTAAGAACACGCTTAAAACACGCTAAGAACACGCTTAAAACACGCTAAGAACACGGTTAGAACACGCTAAGAACACAGAACACGCTTGGAAAACATTAAGAACATGCTTGGAACACGTTAAGAACGCGCTTGGAACACGCTAAGAACACGGTTAGAACACGCTAAGAACACAGAACACGCTTGGAAAACATTAAGAACATGCTTGGAACACGTTAAGAACGCGCTTGGAACATGTTAGGAACGCGCTTGGAACATGTTAGGAACGCGCTTGGAACACGTTAGGAACACGCTTAAAACACGCCAAGAAGACGCTTAGAAAACGTTAAGAACACATTAAGAACACGCTTAAAACACGCCAAGAACACGCTTAAAACATGCTAAGAACATGTAATGAACACACTTAGAACACGCTAAGAACAAGCTTAGAACACGCTAAGAACACGCTTAGAACACATTAAGGACATGCTAAGAACATGTCAAGAACACATTAACACATTAAGATCATGTGGAGAACACACTAAAAACACACTTAGTATATGTCAAGAAAACGCTTAGAACACACTAAGAAAGTGTCAAGAACGAGCTGAGAACACGCTTAGAACAAGCTAAGAACACATCTAGAACACGCTAAAAACACAGCAAGAACACGCTGAGGACATGCTAACACAGCAAGAACACGCTGAGGACATGCTAACACAGCAAGAACACACCAAGTACATGTCAAGAAAACATGCTAACTACACACTAAGAATATGCTTAGAATAACGCAAGAACATGTTAAAAACACGCCAATAACATGTCAAGAACATGTTTAGAATACAAGAATACGCCAAGAACATGCTAACAACACACTTAGAACACACAAAGAACATATTTACAACATGCTAACATATCAAGAAAACTCTAAGAACACAACAAGAACACGATTAGAACATGCTAACGTGTAAAGAACACACTAAGAACATGTTAAAACATGTCAACAACACATCAAGAAAATGCTAAGAAAATATCTAGAACATGCTAAGAACACGTCAAGCACACGCTAAGAACAAATCAAGCACATGCTAAAAACACATCTAGAACACACTAAAAACACATCTAGAACACGCTAAGAACACATCTAGAAAACGCTAAAAACACATCTAGAACACGCTAAGAACACATCTAGAACACGCTAAGAACACATCTAGAAAACGCTAAAAACACATCTAGAACACACTAAAAACACATCTAGAACACGCTAAGAACACATCTAGAAAACGCTAAAAACACATCTAGAACACGCTAAGAACACATCTAGAAAACGCTAAAAACACATCTAGAAAACGCTAAGAACACACATCTAGAACACACCTCTGGAACACGACAAGAACACATCTAGAACATGTTTAGAACACACTAAGAACACGCTTAAAACAAGCTTCGCTAACATGTCAAGAACACGCTACGAACATGTCAAGAATAGGATAAAAACATGTTTAGAACACACTAACACACCACGAACATGCTTACAACATGCTAAGAACACGCCAAGAACATACCAACACGCTAAGAACATGCTTACAACACGCTAAGATAACGCTAAGAATAATATGCTACCAGAAAAGAGAAACAAAAAAGAAAATAAACGAAGGAAAGAAAGGAAAAAAACTAAGAGACAGAAAAAGCAAAACGAAAGAAAGAAAAAGAAAGAAAGGATTTCATAATGTAGTAACTTTGTTCTCCTCAAGTTTCTAGAAAGGTCCGACTCTCTGGACCTTTAACTAGTCTGATCCCCTGATAAAAGAGACGGTGGCGCTCCCTGCTGGCCCCTCAGCTCACCTGTCTGTATCTTGGCCGTTCTTGGCGATGATCATCTTCAGCTTGCCCAGCCCCCCCACAGGAGCTCGGTCTGTGCCGGTGGTGAACTGCAGGAAGAGACGCTTCTGCTCCTCACTGAACGAATGCAGCGTCTCCCAGAACTCCCTGCAGGAGGAGGAGGGACATTCAGAACCATCAGAGAGGAGGAGGGAGGGAGGCAGGGAGGGAGGCAGGGAGGGAGGGAGGCAGGGAGGGAAGGAATGTTTCTCACTTGATGATGCGTGAGTCTTTGTTATAACCGCCATCATACTCTGTGGTTTCCTCCAGCGCCTGGAAGTCCAGGTTCTGTGGGAAGAGAGCGGCTCAGAGTCGGGTTGTGGCGCTCAGATAGAAGTACTGATTGGTTCCTCCTGCTGACTCACCCTGCTGCCACAGATCAGCAGCTCGATCTCCTCGGGGCGGAACAGGTACTTGAGCGGCGACTCGTTGGTGACCATGTGGAAGCCTCTCCTGAAGGCCTTGAACTGCTTCTCCACGCTTTTGTTCAGAATGTACTCCGAGTACAGAGCCACAAAGTCCTGCAGGGACGAGCAGGCGGTTAGAGGGCCATCAGAAGGGTTGCCCTGGTAACCCCAGCAGCCTCACCTTTCGGTTTGCGTTGGTCACGGGGATCCGGTCCCCGTTTTCCCTCAGGTCGTAGGTCAGCCTGTTGCCGAAGGGGTCGGTCTGGGAGATCTGGAAGGTGATCATCATGTCCTCCTCCACGCTGCCCTCGTACTCCAGCAGCTCCTTCAGGCTCTGCTGCAGCACCTGACGGGAAACAGAGGCGGCCTCAGACGCGGCGCCAGGGGGCACAGGCGGCGGCGGGGGGCGGAGCTTACCGGGTTGGCGTCGGCCAGGTCCCTGAAGGTGCCCTTCTTGCCCATCAGCTTCCTGTAGACCACCATGGGGAAGTGGACGTCCAGGATGCAGTTGTTGTAGATGGCCAGGCCCAGCACGATGCCGATCAGCGTGTACTGGCCCTCGTTCTCGAACGACGACGAGTTGAACCAGAACAGCCGGGTGTGCTCGTCGTACGTGAACATGCCTGCAGGGGGGAGGAGCCGGGATTTAAAGAGACGGCGCTGCTGGGAGGGCGGAGCCAGACTGAAACCGACCCAAAATAAACACAGGAGGAGTTGTACCTGGACTTTGACTAGACCGTTCTGACAGCTGCTCTGCTCAGCATGAAACTGAGCTACGGAGGCTCTTTGCTGCCATTATTGTGGCAGAAAGAAAAAACGCAACCCAGAAATTCAACTTTAAGCTACAAAAAAAATAAAATAAAAAGGTTTTGAGAGAAACTATCAGTGTTGATCGTTTCTTTCGACTTTTACCGACTGGATTTGCTGAGCTAACGCTCACTGCTGCTAACGGAAAGCAGACCATTAGCATGGCGTGTTTCCTTCCAGAGGAACGCCCCGCCCCCCAGGAGTGAAGATTATAAATAAAGCTATCCGTCTAACTGGGTCTGAGAAAGAAAAAGCTGGAAAACTAAAATTAAAAAATAGTTTTAAAATAATCACATCAATACAGAAGAGGCTTAAGGCCGCTGGAAATAAAATGTTAACTCATTTTTATTTTATTTCAGTTTGATATGGGACAAAAGTCAGAATTCTGAAGGTCAGAATTCTGACCTTAATTTCAGAATTCTGACTTTTTCTCAGATTTCTGACTTCAATCTCACAATTCTGACCCTAAGAAAGGGGATGGAAGTACGGAATATCTAGTTTAGGGCCGCTGAAAAAAGTTGATTTTTAAAATTTATTTCAGCGTATTGACGCTGGAAAAATTAATTCTGAGATTAAAGTCAGAATTCTGACATTTTCCTTACATTATACTGAATAAAAAAATAATTAAACTTTTTATTTTTCAGTGGCCCTGATCCGTACATCTAAGATTTAAAACTTTAACAAATTTTTTCTTTGATAAATCAAACTCAGAATCAGAAAACGGGCGCGGAGGAACCAGGAGGGAGAACCCCGGTTACCGCTTTAGACCGGACGCTAGACCCCGCCTCTTCCTGTGGTGTCTTACCGATGTCGGGGTTGAAGATCTCCTCCACCACCAGCTGGAAGAACTCCTTGGACACGCCCCCTTCGTCGACGCCTTGCTCTCCCTCAAACTCCACGTACAGCTGCTTCTTCAGGTCTGCCGGGTTCTCCATGGCGATCATCTCCAGCTGCGGGACAAGAACATTCAGGTCCAGCGACAGCGCCGCCCCCCCGCCCCCAACCGGATCTCCCCCCGGACCGAACGTACCCTGACCAGCGCGTCGTCGATGATGTGGTCCCGCCGCACCTTGAGCCGCAGGTAGGGGTTGAGCTGCTGGCCCTGCACCAGGCTGTAGAGCACGGTGATGCGGCGCTCGCTGTACATGCGGATGCGGTTGTCGTAGTAGAGGCCCAGGTTCTTGGTGACGGCGTTCAGGACGAAGGGGCAGGTCATGAAGGAGAACTTGTTCTCCGTCTCCACCTTGAAGAAGGTGTAGTCCTTGTCCATCTCCAGCACCTCGTTGAGGGGCTCGTTGACGAACTCCTCGAAGGGGATGAGCGGCCGCCTGCAGTCGTTGGTGCGTACCCCCAGCTCCGTCTCCAGGGGGTCGACCCGGGGGCCCTTCTTGTTCCGCCGCTCCTCGCCCAGCAGCTCCTGCAGGGTCAGCTCGCTGGACTCCGGAATGGGCTCCTCGTCCTCGTCCTCGTTGTGCTCTGTGTCCAGGTCGCCGCCCAGCACGTTGGCGTAGTAGACGATCTTCAAGCACTTGGTGGCCGCCACCACCGCGTCGTCGTCGTTGACCAGGTTGCGGCTGCTGAACTCGTTGCTGATCACCTTGAATGTGATGAGCTGCTGGAAGGTCTCCATCATGCGGCGGATCTGCTCGGCGCTGTAGCGGGACCACAGGCGCGCCAGCTTGGCCTGCGCCGCCAGCGGCAGCTTGCTCATGGCCTTGCAGAACTGCGGCAGCGCGATCTCCAGGTACTCCGGGCTGTGGAGGTTGCTGTTCTCCATCACGATGACGAAGAGGTTCAGGTAGTTGGGGTCTCTAGAGTACACGTTGTGGTACGTCAGGTCGCACTCCACGTTGGGCGAGAGGTAGACCAGCGCGTTGAGGAAGGCCGCCTCGATCTTGTCGCTGGAGAGGAGGCGCTGGTAGACCCGCCGCACCGCCTCAATGTCCACCGACACCTCGTCTGGGGCCAGCTTCTGGACGTCGTTGCCCCCGGAGGAGCCCTCCCCGAGGCGCGACGACGACGAGGTGGGGGAGTCTTCCTCCATGGCCGTGGCGGAGGACGCCGCCTCCTTCTCGTCCTCGTCCTTGTCCTCGTCCTTCCCCTGCAGGGACTTCAGCTCCTCCTTGGTGTGAGGCTTGGACCTGCGGAAGCTCTGGACCAGACCCTCGGCGCTGGAGAACACCCGGCCGATGACCCGGATGAGCGGCGAGTAATCCTCCTTCTCCCCACACGCGTCCAAGATCTCGTACACCTTCTCCTCCGTAAGGTAGCTGATATCTGCACACACAGACAAACGTGTCACGGCGGACGTAAACGACGACCCGACGGCAACGACACGGGAACCCACCTCTGAAGTTGTCCCTCACGGAGTGGACGTCCTTGTGGTTCGTCCTCCTGTCGCTGCAGGCCGAGTTGCCGAGGGCGCCGCTCTCCAGGTACGTGGACGCCGTGCCTTTCTTGGAGGGGTGCGGGTCGCACAGCTTGGCGTTGACCTTGTAGAGCTCCAGCGCTTTGACCGCCGCCGCGTTGTTGTCCATGCGGCTGAACCCCGCCGACGAGGCGCACCACGAGTTGGAGCACGACTCATTCCCACAGCCCTCGGTTAACTGGTGGTAGTAGCGCTCTATTAGATGTTTGGCAGCGGCACGCTTCCTGCGCGGAAGACAGAGAAGTCGTTATGGCCCCCAAGATCACATGGCTGGCATAAATATGGTCAACATCGCGTTCATTTAGCTGAGGGGTCACCGAGGTTACTTAATGGCTAGCATCGATACGGTCAACACGGTGTTCATTTAGCTAAGAGGTCACAAAGGCTACTCCATGGCTAGCATCGCTATGGTCAACATTGCTGTAATTTAGCCCAGGGATCACCAAGGTTACTTCACGGCTACCATCAATACGGTCAACATCGCGTTCATTTAGCCCAGAGATCACCAAGGTTACTTCACGGCTACCATCAATACGGTCAACATCGCGTTCATTTAGCCCAGAGATCACCAAGGTTACTTCACGGCTACCATCAATACGGTCAACATCGCGTTCATTTAGCCCAGAGATCACCAAGGTTACTTCACGGCTACCATCAATACGGTCAACATCGCGTTCATTTAGCCCAGAGATCACCAAGGTTACTTCACGGCTACCATCAATACGGTCAATATCGCGTTCATTTAGCCCAGAGATCACCAAGGTTACTTCACGGCTAGCATCAATACGGTCAACATCGCGTTCATTTAGCCCAGAGATCACCAAGGTTACTTCACGGCTAGCATCAATACGGTCAACATCGCGTTCATTTAGCCCAGAGATCACCAAGGTTACTTCACGGCTAGCATCAATACGGTCAACATCGCGTTCATTTAGCCCAGAGATCACCAAGGTTACTTCACGGCTACCATCAATACGGTCAATATCGCGTTCATTTAGCCCAGAGATCACCAAGGTTACTTCACGGCTAGCATCAATACGGTCAACATCGCGTTCATTTAGCCCAGAGATCACCAAGGTTACTTCACGGCTACCATCAATACAGTCAACATCACGTTCATTTAGCCCAGAGATCACCAAGGCTACTTCACGGCTACCATCAATACGGTCAATATCGCGTTCATTTAGCCCAGAGATCACCAAGGTTACTTCACGGCTACCATCAATACGGTCAACATCGCGTTCATTTAGCTCAGAGATCACCAAGGTTACTTCACGGCTACCATCAATACGGTCAACATCGCGTTCATTTAGCCTAGAGATAAACAAGGCTACTTCACGGCTACCATAAATACGGTCAATATCGCGTTCATTTAGCCCAGAGATCACCAAGGTTAATTCACGGCTACTATCAATACGGTCAATATCGCGTTCATTTAGCCCAGAGATCACCAAGGTTACTTCACGGCTACCATCAATACGGTCAATATCGCGTTCATTTAGCCCAGAGATCACCAAGGCTACTTCACGGCTAGCATCAATACAGTCAACATCGCGTTCATTTAGCCCAGAGATCACCAAGGTTACTTCACGGCTAGCATCAATACGGTCAACATTGCTTTCATTTAGCCCAGAAGTCACCAACGCTAGTTCACGGCTAGCATCAATACGGTCAATATTGCTTTCATTTAGCCCAGAAGTCACCAACGCTAGTTCACGGCTAGCATCAATATGGTCAACATCGCGTTCATTTAGCCCAGAGATCACCAAGGTTACTTCACGGCTAGCATAAATATGGTCAACATCGTGTTCACTTAGCCCAGGAGTCACCAAAGCTAGTTCACGGCTAGCATCAATACGGTCAACATCGCGTTCATTTAGCCCAGGGATCACCAAGGCTACTTCACGGCTACTATCAATACGGTCAACATCGTGTTCATTTAGCCCAGGAGTCACCAAGGTTACTTCACGGCTACCATCAATACAGTCAACATCGCGTTCATTTAGCCCAGAGATCACCAAGGCTACTTCACGGCTACCATCAATACGGTCAATATCGCGTTCATTTAGCCCAGAGATCCCCAAGGCTACTTCACGGCTACTATCAATACGGTCAATATCGCGTTCATTTAGCCCAGAGATCACCAAGGCTACTTCACGGCTAGCATCAATACGGTCAATATCGCGTTCATTTAGCCCAGAGATCACCAAGGCTACTTCACGGCTAGCATCAATACAGTCAACATCGCGTTCATTTAGCCCAGAGATCACCAAGGTTACTTCACGGCTAGCATCAATACGGTCAACATTGCTTTCATTTAGCCCAGAAGTCACCAACGCTAGTTCACGGCTAGCATCAATACGGTCAATATTGCTTTCATTTAGCCCAGAAGTCACCAACGCTAGTTCACGGCTAGCATCAATATGGTCAATATCGCGTTTATTTAGCCCAGAAGTCACCAACGCTAGTTCACGGCTAGCATCAATATAGTCAATAGCGCGTTTATTTAGCCCAGGGATCACCAAGGTTACTTCACGGCTAGCATAAATATGGTCAACATTGTGTTCACTTAGCCCAGGAGTCACCAAGGCTACTTCACGGCTACCATCAATACGGTCAACATCATGTTAATATAGCCCAGGAGTCACCAAGGCTAGTTCATGGCTAGCATCAATACGGTCAACATCGCGTTCATTTAGCCCAGAGATCACCAAGGTTACTTCACGGCTAACATAAATATGGTCAACATCGTGTTCACTTAGCCCAGGAGTCACCAAAGCTAGTTCACGGCTAGCATCAATACGGTCAACATCGCGTTCATTTAGCCCAGGGATCACCAAGGTTACTTCACGGCTAGCATCAATACGGTCAACATCGTGTTCATTTAGCCCAGGAGTCACCAAGGTTACTTCACGGCTACCATCAATACGGTCAACATCGTGTTCATTTAGCCCAGAGATCACCAAAGCTAGTTCACGGCTAGCATCAATACGGTCAACATCGCGTTCATTTAGCCCAGGGATCACCAAGGTTACTTCACGGCTAGCATCAATACGGTCAACATCGTGTTCATTTAGCCCAGGAGTCACCAAGGTTACTTCACGGCTAGCATCAATACGGTCAACATCGTGTTCATTTAGCCCAGAGATCACCAAGGTTACTTCACGGCTAGCATCAATACGGTCAACATCGTGTTCATTTAGCCCAGGAGTCACCAAAGCTAGTTAACGGCTAGCATCAATACGGTCAACATCGCGTTCATTTAGCCCAGGGATCACCAAGGTTACTTCACGGCTAGCATCAATACGGTCAACATCGTGTTCATTTAGCCCAGGAGTCACCAAGGTTACTTCACGGCTAGCATCAATACGGTCAACATCGTGTTCATTTAGCCCAGAGATCACCAAGGTTACTTCACGGCTAGCATCAATACGGTCAACATCGTGTTCATTTAGCCCAGAGATCACCAAGGTTACTTCACGGCTACCATCAATACGGTCAACATCGTGTTCATTTAGCCCAGGAGTCACCAAGGTTACTTCACGGCTACTATCAATACGGTCAACATCGTGTTCATTTAGCCCAGAGATCACCAAGGTTACTTCACGGCTACCATCAATACGGTCAACATCGTGTTCATTTAGCCCAGGAGTCACCAAGGTTACTTCACGGCTACCATCAATACGGTCAACATCGTGTTCATTTAGCCCAGAGATCACCAAGGTTACTTCACGGCTACCATCAATACGGTCAACATCGTGTTCATTTAGCCCAGGAGTCACCAAGGTTACTTCACGGCTACTATCAATACGGTAAACATCGTGTTCATTTAGTCCAGGAGTCACCAAGGTTACTTCACGGCTAGCATCAATACGGTCAACATCGCGTTCATTTAGCCCAGAGATCACCAAGGTTACTTCACGGCTACCATCAATACGGTCAACATCGTGTTCATTTAGCCCAGGAGTCACCAAGGTTACTTCACGGCTACTATCAATACGGTAAACATCGTGTTCATTTAGCCCAGGAGTCACCAAGGTTACTTCACGGCTAGCATCAATACGGTCAACATCGCGTTCATTTAGCCCAGAGATCACCAAGGTTACTTCACGGCTAGGCTAAAAAATTATGAGGGCAAGGCTTTTAAAGTTTAAATCTTCTGGCAAAGATAAAGTAAAGAAGATCCTGCAATTTATGGAAGTAAAGCAGAATAAAATCCAGCAAGATCAGTAATATATCAATTAATTATCTGCCACATTCCCATGTAAATATCTGTCTTTGGAGGATGTGTTTTTTAGCACCCCTAGTTCTCTCATTTTTATTCCAAATACAATTTATAATTTGAATCACAGGGCTATTTTTATCTCTATGGTTCAGTATTTTCTCAAGTAGCAACTTTAACTGCTATACTTTCCTGTCTTAAAAGGCAGAACTCTTCTAATCTAAAAAAAACCTCATTTGTTGAAATGGGGGGGCCTATTGTTTGAACCCCTTAGGGGCTTTAAAAAACAAAAATGTTTTTTTTTTGCGCTTTATGAAACAAAGTAGCCTATATTTTGTGGATGTACAGCTACATTTCTCATGTAAGTTTGCGTAGTTTTAACAAACATTTATTTTTCATATTGCACCAGGACAGTTAATGAGCAACCTGTACTTGTGTGCTTGTTTGTTCTGTCTAAAATGTTTATTTTGGAATAAAGAGGTTAATATAAAAAATATTTTTTGTCCGATTCATCGATTAATCGAAAAAATAATCGGCCGATTCATCGATTTTTAAAATAATCGTTAGTTGCAGCCCTATATAAATGCAAGTCTAGATATATTGGATTCAATTTTTGCAAAAGAAAATCTAGTAACAGGTATCTTGAGTAAGATTTACTCTAGTATGGCAAGCAGTAAAACATTTTATCAGTTTTATTAGCAATGAAAATACCACCCCAAATATTTATAAACGTAGTTTTAGATATGTGATTCAGTTTTGGCAAAAGAAAATCTAATTCCGACCATCCTGAGTAAGTCTTAAATAAGTATGGCAAGCAGTAAAACATTTTATCAGTTTAACCATGAAAATAACATCCCATATCTAAAAAATGCAGTTCTAGATATATGTGATTTAGTTTTGGCAAAAGAAAATCTACAGGCAGATTTAAACTTTGAATCTACCGTATTTTCACGACTATAAGGCGCACCTAAACGTCTTTTTTTTTCCTCAAAATGTGGGGTG